TCTTTAACTATATTCTTAATAACTTTTACTAGATAATGATGAGTAAATATTACATGAATTTGTAGCATATAAATTTACTTAAACATTCTCAAGTAAATCTTACAAGTTATTTTTTACAGTGTGCTCCCAACAGAGAGAACAAAGAAGTGACTCATGTGTTATAACATTTATCAACGCACCAATTATTGTCCATTCTCTATGTTAAAGAGACAAACTTTTCTTGGCGTGGCTCTGCAGTTTGACTCATTTGCTGATTTTTCTATCTGCTCTCACCAAACTAAACTGTGTACAGGAGCATCAGGACAGGGCTTGTATTGTTCATGTGAGTTTATTATATTTGTTTATGAATTTAGGACATAGAATACATTTTGTTGGTCCTTTCCAAAAAGTTTACAACACGAGTTATTCTTTGATGAGGCTTTGGTGCTACAAGAACAACTTGGCAACAAAGCAGCACCATGACTCTTGATTTATTTACAAAAGTATGAGACAAAAAGAAAAATATGTATCAAATATTAGCAAAGTTTTATTTGCAAGATTTGTTTTTTTGTTGTTGTTGTTTTTCTTAACTCAGTAAACTAGGTGGACAACACCGGGAAGCTGGAGTTTCAGGAGTTTAAGGTCTTCTGGGAAAAGATGAAGAAGTGGATTGTGCGTATTGATTGATTTGGTTGGATAAAGTTTGATCTACAGCATGTCCTTCAGGGTGTTTGAGACATGGTGTTGTTTCAGATGCTCTTCCTGGCCTTTGACACAGACCGGTCAGGGAAGATGTCATCATACGAGCTGCGCAACGCTCTCAAAGCTACAGGTCAGTAAACTGCAGGTCACCATCCTGCTGTCTAATATTTTAACTCCTGTTGAACGGTCACTGGCAGACATCTGGAAGTGATGAGACTTTATTTATTTACATGTTGGCATTGATTGTTTTATGTGTTTATCAAATGCAATGTTTTGATTATGAAAAAGGAGATTAGCGAAACCATCATACTGCTGAGAGTGTGAAGTCTTTAGAGTCTGGATGGACAAGTCTTCTGTTGTTGACATCTTTTAATTCATTTGTGGATAAAACGTTTCTGCATCACTGCATAATTCGATCTATGGAGTGGACAGTGACGACTGGGAGTGAGACCTGAAGGGGGCGGGGTTTCAAAGAGACAGCATCAAAATGAGTTGATCTGAGACACACCTCAGAAAAGAGGTGAAAGAGGGGCTTGTGGAGTTACGTTAAGGAGGAATTCAGACCAAAGCGTTGCAGTTCCACTGAATGATTTAAACGTGAATAAGGATTTAAATAAATAAATGTTTCCTTTAATTTGCATTTCACAAATGTTTTTAAATTGTTGTTTTACAACAAAAGTCAAGCCTGTCAGTCTGATAGCAATATTTCTCAAGAGCCACAAATATTTTAGTGAAATTCTCATAGATGAATCAACAAATGAACAACTGATTGCCTTTTGGATTCAACATGGCCGCCATAGCTAATGAACATTAGCCGAAACAAAAGTGGCAGTGACTCGGGTAATTTTACAGATGTTGAGCTAAAATCTGATGCAGTAGCTAAAAGTCATCCACATAACATTCTCTGAGCATCAAACACATGCTGCATTTTTCCATGAGGTCACAAATGTTATTGAAATCAGCTGCAGCTCCTCCCAATATAACGATTTTATTTCAGCTCTGATGTGAAAGGTGACAGGTGACATGCATCCCACACTGAAAAAAAGGATTTTTGGGTGTAGTAACATTTATTTAATTATTCTTTTAAATTTTACAAAAAATACAGTATATCAAAATCTCTAAAATACCAGAAGGTAAATAAATAAACAATACACATTATATTATATATCAATATTACTGTACAAAAAAAAGTAAATGCTAATATTATTTTAGCAGTAATATTTAAGTGTTTTTTCTGGACAGCACATAAACATGAATATATGAAGTAACTTCTACTCTTCTGGACTAAAACTGAGGCTGCATGCACACACAAAGGCTGCTGCTCCTCATTCCCTTGCTT